CTCGAGTCGGTTTGGTGTGTCCCGTGCCGTCGTCAGTCGGCGTCAGCGTCAGCGTCACACTTTTTTGACCGACTCGAGTCACTGACCTCGCCCCAGACTGTCCGACGACGTCAGACGGCCGATAATCGGGTTGGTGTGCAGAGGCCTTTAGGATTCCTGCTTAGCACACTGCTAACAAGAGTAAATGAGTTGAATTAGCATCTGTGGCCACAGACACAAAGCCTGCCAACTTACTTTAAAGGAGCATCACAAAGCTGCACTGCTAACTGCTAACTCTACAAGGAAACATTGGCGCAACCTAGATCCCTTTGACCTCCACAATGGATACCACACAGCAATGACTTTTTGAAATCAGAAATAACTTTTTCCAGCCTGGTTCACAGGACACAGGCACACATGCGCATTGCGCACTAACTACTAACCCTAACCGCTGATTACAACTGTGCTGTGAATGGTCAGTTTTTTGGCCTGTCTTTTAACTGCTGAGTTAGCTATGAAGAAGACAGGAACATCATTAATTACTCAGAAATCATGATCATTGAAATACATTAGTTGTTGCATTAATTAACATATTGTTCTTGCATTGAATCATGTATGGGATACTGTTTATTCTTGTACAATCATGAAGTACAACATTCATGATGATTATAATAATAATAATGTGTAATGATGTGGAAATCTTACTCTGATCCGTGTATCAGCTCCAGGATACTCCTTCTCTTCCAGGGCCTCCCATCGTTGGTCAAACTTTGCCACCACAGGATCATCAAAATCTACTATCTGAAAGCCAGACACATTTGCACCTCCATACTGGATTTTAGAGAGGTCACCATCTACAAATCCCTGGAACAAGATCAATACCATGAACAAAAAAATGTCAGTTGAGGCTGTATGTTTAGCCTTTATGTTTAGCCTTTTGTCATTCTGTGTCAGGATCTGATGGAGCCCGGAACAATACTACAATTAGGCCGTGTCATCGACCAATATTAACCCAACCTGGAGATGGGGTGTAGTGGTATATGTGTTTTACCATACACCATAGCTATACTTAACTAGTACTGTTTAACAACGCCAACAACCTCTATTGTAACTACCACCTTTTCTTATTATTAACAAAGAACAGCACACCTGCCATCAGTGGCAGTTTTATTTTGCTTAGCCACAAGTGTGTGCCTTTTTATTGGTCAAACAGAGGCGGATCAAAAACATAACAACCAACAAAGCAAGCTTGTGAATAGAAAATTTGAGACAAATAGACAAATACAGGCCTTTTTTTCTACCTACCTACCTATTTAGCTATTTATGGCTTGCAATGTTAACATCAGCTAATCTACTAAACCTCAACCAGTCCATGCACGTCAAACTAGGGGCGTTTTCACACATACCTC